TGAACTCTTCGATGATATCTGCGATAGTGATGGCGAAGACGAAGAGTCCTTCGGGGAACTGAAGGCCAACCCTTTGAGCCGCCGATGACTTCAATCTCCAAATGATTTTATGAAATTCAAAGTTATAATTCTTGGGAAGCGTTGAACTGATCCTCTCATTCAATAGCTTGTTGTCGAGTATCTCCGACGGGATCTGACTCTTCGTCGGCGCATTCACTCGTCGACGAGTTTCCAATGGTTTCGCGCGAATCACCTGCGGATCAGTTGAAGACATGTTTTTGTCTTTCAATTCAATTCAAAACACACTTTAATTTCATGTTTACTCTCTTTTCACGTGTTTTGCAATGCATTCATAAATAACGACAAATGTATCCAAAGTTTGTTTCGACACAAGTTTGCGATTTTTGGGATCAATTGATGACAAACCATGAGATATAGTGAATGAATGCATACAAAGAGGTAAGGGTTGACACAATTGTCTCCTCTAAATGCCAAACGCCAGCACTTGAGTCCACAAAATGACTTCACGTACTTATAACTACATTGTAGGTAAAGTATATCATACCTGTACCGTATAAATTGTGAAATCACCATCATGCAAAATTTGCATTGCAAATCATGATCCTGTGAAGTGACAGTGAAGTCATTTTGTCGATTCAAGTAATTGTCATTGAAATACACAGCAAATGGTTATTTGTTTGCCTGTACTGTATATTACCGTTATTTTGTAATTATTCTACAATAGCTCTATTAATATACAAGTTATTTGTGTTAATTATATACGGTATACACAATGTCTCATAAATTCATTTAACTATTGATTGGTTATAAATATGAGATATGATGCAAAGGATGGACTATTCAAATGGACAACAGTGTAGTAGTGGTCCACTATTAGTGGCATATAATTAGCAGTTTTGTAGCAGTCAGTGATTATCAATGACCACACTTTCAAATTGATAGCCAATTGAGAACTTTATTAATTCTCAATTCAATTATTTAAAGACCAAATACTGACAAAATGAATGAATTGATAAAATGGCAAATTTATATAAAAATTATTAGAATTTTATTTGTCATAATTTGAATTATAATCGATATAAACATAATTAATGAATAGTCAATGGAAAGCAAACTTACAGAACATTGAATGAAATGAAGCCATAATTGAAATCAATTTTGAAATTAAAGTAAATATTAATATAATATATAAATAAATTAAAGTTATAATCAATATTGAGGCGATTTTCTGTACAATACGTATATAAAAACCAAACCTAATATTCATTAAAACATAAATCAAATATTTTAATAAAACATTTCTATTAAAAAATTAGATATTTTTGGTTTAAATGAAAACAAAGTGAATGACTCGTTGGCGTCAAATGGATGGGAAGAGTGTCTTATCGGACGAGACATTCAACACACAGTTTCGAGGGTCCGATACAGTCTGAGTGACAATAAGCTCCGCATTTCTTGCAAATAGTCATAGGTTTCAA